CCGCCACCGGCGCAAGAAGCCTCCAACGATAATCCACAGACGAATCACCACCAGGTAATCAAGCTCCAAATGTTAACGACCGCGTGCGAATACATCTATGAGGATAACAATGTTCGTCTAAGGATTCATTATTCTTTGCTATTTATACGTTTAACTCTCAACTGACATCGTTGGGTCACGAGATGATTACAACATTTTTGGTTAGGTTACTTGAATTTTCGATTTTAATTGCTTTAATTTGTACTTCATTTCTCACGCTATCATATGAAATACTGTATACAAGTTGAAATGAAGCGTAGGCTAAAATTCAGTAATTTAACCTAAAATCTTGTTGGTCATCTACGATCTAACAATACCATTTGGAGGTTATATGTTGCTCTATCCGATATGGTATATCGAAAGGAATGTTGCGTTTTAGGGTTCGACAAATGGTCCGTCACCTATGGCTGCGCTCATGTCTGTCGCTGACAACTTAGCGTCGCCAGAATCAGTGCCACAGCCACCGAATAATCCGAGTCCAACCAGTAGAAGTCCACCGACCACGGCCACGAACGCTCAGCAACGCAGTGCTTCCAGAGGATCGCAGCATAGCCCGAACAGTTCAGGTAATTATGTCTGTTTCCTTTTTTTCTTTCTTTTTTTTTTTCGTTTAAATCCTCAACTAGTATTTGTGGTGGTAGTATACGTTATATTTTACGCATCGCGAATCACCAATGATATTTATTTCGTACGATGTACTAATTAAAATGATGTACTTCAAAGTTAGATGATTGAAGTTAAATCTAATCTATGCTATGCGTTCGTCTACGATCCAATCGTACAAGTTGAGGGTTAAATGCCAATTACTATCGCGCATAAAATTGGTAGAAATACGTTAAATTAAATCGCGTGCGTACCGATTGATTACAGGATCCTCGGGTAGGAGATCCAATGGTTCAAGGCACGTGTCGTCGACGACTGTGACAACGTCGTCAGAAGGAGCAGTTGCCCAAGTCGCCGGAGCCGAACAAGTATCAGCGCCGATATTAAAATGCACCCTGTGTCAAGAACGCCTCGAGGACACGCATTTTGTTCAGTGTCCCAGCGTGCCACACCACAAATTCTGTTTCCCTTGCAGCCGAGAAAGCATAAAGAGACAGGGTGCTGGCTCGGAGGTGGGTTTCCGACCGAAACAACTATTCTGCATCTAGAACGAACGATCGTCGTTCAATGTAACGACCTAATTTCACGTTAATATCAATTGTTTCAGGTTTATTGCCCAAGCGGAGAGAAATGTCCACTGGCGAACAGCCAAGTGCCATGGGCGTTTATGCAAGGCGAGATAGCCACTATCTTGGGCGACGATACCACAGGCTCTGGGCTTAAAGTAAAGAAAGAGAGAGAAACCTAAAGATTCTCACGCTGTTTTAAAAACGGGGCTGAAATTTTGCACCCTCTTTGACGAGGGTTAATCATGGTGGAACCGTGAAGGTTCAACCAAAAAATACTTTTTGGTAACGGTGATGATACATGTTTGGCGACGATATTGCCAACATTATTCGATTCGAGCCAAAGACGTTGTCGGTGTAAATTGGAATTAATAATGAAGTTGTTGTCGGGGAAAGTGGACGATTTTTTTCAGCGACGCGTTTCGCTGGGTGTTCTGTTCACCGAGACAACCGATTGTTTCGATCGATCGTTCGTTCGTCGATCGATTGTTTTTGACTGGTCTTGAGAAGAAGTCTTTGGCAATTTTTGACACGTTGGCGTCGGTCCTGCGCACGTGTATATATGGGATTATCATAGAACGGTTAATGCGCGAGGAAATAAAAAGAAACAGACGTGGCTTTTGTCGAATATGTACGAATAAACGTTAAAAGAAAACGCGAGAGAGATTTTGTGTCCGGTTTGGGTTTGTACTTAGACTCGATCGCCTTTCTTTATTATTTCTTGTGTCGCGAATGTTCTCGCGTTTTTTGAAACACTATACATACAGAGACGTTTTACACGCCGCACGCGCACGCGTGCTCACACACACACACACACACACACACACACACACACACACACACACACACACACACAATCTAAACACTTACATATATATACATAAAGTACATTATGGTAACACAACACGGTACCATTAAAGTCAGGCGGTTGTATTGTACTTTATTTTTATTCACGCTATCGCGTGATCGCGGATTAACCCAAGTCGGGAGTATCGCACTTCGGTGTTCTGAAACTTATCGGACAAGTTCCCGATCGGTCGTCTTTTTCTAATCTTTTATTTGTATACTCTTTCTACTACTACACACTCATTGTATGATAGAAGAAAAGAAAAAAACATTGCGGACATATTTAGACCCAGCGTACGGGTTTTCTGTACATTATGTATATGTGTACATACCACGTTATTAATAAAACTTATGGATTAAAGGAGTAACCAGTTTTAAATGTACAAAAGAAGGAAAACTTACATTCGTTTTGCGTGTTATTCTATTAAATTATTTTTCTTTTTTGTTTCTCTTTTTCTTTCTTCTCGAATCATTTGTAAGGAAACAAGAACCGTACGTTCAAACCATTGTAGGACGTTCGAGCGCATTTCGTTCGATTTTCCTCGTCATTTTCTCTTTTCCTTTTCGTTCTTTCTCGTTTTTGCGAAAAAACAAGATCGCCAATTCTCTTTGTAAGACTCGTCTGGTGGTATCCGAAATAAGAAAACACACGAGAGAGGAGGGACACGTCGTTCTTATCCAGTCATTCATTAAAAGAAAAACAAAAAAAACACAAAAAAAAGAAAAACGAAAAAAACCAAAAAAAAAAAAAGACGAATCGGTATCCGATTGTGTAACGTCCACTTTCGCCTTTAGTTAATCGCTAGACTTTAAGTGAGAGGGCCTTTTGGTTTTTCATTTTGCCAATGAAAAAGGTGATGCCCGTCAAATAGGAACCATACACTCGCTATTGTCTCTAAAAACGTAAAAAAAGAATAAAAAAAAAAAGCGAAAAAAGTAAATAAATAAGTAACGAGAAGCAAAGAAAGCGAAGAAAGTGGAATGGAAAGAAACGAAACGAGAAACTGAAAGATATATAATGCAAGCATACGTTGTTCCCTTGTTCGAGGAACCTCTCGCGACTTTTGTCCGCTCGAAGCGAGACGGTCCCTCGGACGCGAACACATACGGCTCCTTTTTGTATATATTTGTACAAAACGGATTTGGCACAATAAGCGAAGAACGGAGCGGCGAAATCGCGCGAAATCGGAAACAATCGTGCGCTCGCGTGGCTCAAGTTCTATCCAGAGACCGATGCACGCTTCGTACTCTGTTGTTGGGACTCTGATTTCCCGCAGGACTTGAGCAACACAATCGTTTCTGTTGGTCAACGACGCTCTTTTTTTCGAATTACATGTTGCTTCGACGCGGTGATCGCGATCGAGGCAGCTAAGTGTAGAGGCTATCTGCGTTAGCGTAAGCGAATTTATTGTACCGGAGTGCAAAATTGACAAGAGAGTGCGAAAGGATGAGTGACGACGAGATACCGCGGAAATGAGCAAAAGATGGATCGATCCTTTTGCTACGATATACCTTTGGAACTTTAATGTATTGACAATTTTTTGGTATACAGATCCGAGCAACTTTCGTCGACTCTCTGTAGCGTATTGGATCGTCCTTTGTATCGAACTAACTTCTTTTTATATTATTCTTGGCTTTGCGCAAATTTGGAGTAATTCTAAAGTACTCGTCGACGTCTGTCACCATAAAATACTGTAAGTTGTTGCGATGGTTATTTCACGCGTAAAACGTACTTGTTTCGTACGAGGTGTTTTCGACAAACTAATTACACGTTGAGAAATGAAAATAAATACGACGTTTAGGAGTAGGACTATGGGAGTTTAGTAGCCGTAAAAGTATAAGAGAAAGTAGAAACGATTCTGTACCGTAGAGGATTTCTGTATACGCTTTCGGCAAATTATAATTCGATGGTTGAAAGGCTTATCGTAGCGAAAGGTTTAAGAGAAAAATGGAAGAAAGACTACTATAGGAGCGGAGAATGCGAGCGAACGAGAAGGGAGGAGCCGAAATTGAAAAGAGCACAATTGATCGTAGCAATACTTACAGAGGCTGTACATGATATTTTTTAGTCCGAGGCAGGTAGTTCCTACCTTCGATATCAAAGTTGATCGAAGCGTTCGTTCGAAAAAGAAAAAAAAAAACCAAGGGTTTGTTATACGATGTACCCCGATTTTTGCAAAAATGAGAAAATGTTCATAGAAAACGAAAGAGGATAACTGGCAAAAAAAAAAAAAAGTAAAAAAGAAAAAAAAAGAGAAGGCTCGCTATAAAAGAAAAGACACAGTTGTTCACGCAGATACGACCTCCTGTTGTTGTTGTTGTATTCCGTTCGTTTCTCCTCGTATTCCGCGATTTTGCGAACCGTCTTTTACTCTCTCTTTCTGTCCGAGCGATGTAATATTTTTTTCCACGTCACATTTGGCGGACTGAAAATTACGGTGATGCGAAGAACGATTACCGATCGCGATAATCTTACGAAGATATATCGTGTACGTATTTTGTTCGTAAAAGATCATTTTGAACAGTTTCGATATTTCTATAATATAACCTATAAGTTAAAATTTGTAATTTCTTGATTGAAAACGTTAAACGAGAGAAATGAAACGAGCGGTTTTGTTAAGAGAATTTAAGGCAGACAAGCAACTAGAATTTAGACAATTTTCACTTACATCGCTATAACTCTCAGCCCGCTATTTGTAGAAAAATCGATTTGTTACGAGTTAACCCGAGAGAGCCTTTATCCTCTCGACGCATCGATACGATAAGTATCATTGGTCGTCGAAATCGATCGTCGAAGCGGCGATCGTTTGCTCTTTTTGCTGTCCGTTTTGCTGTCTTTCGCATTGTTCGCGCGCGATCGTTTTTCTCAAACGCTTGCTCAACTTCCGATTACTATTTTTGGACGACGTTTTGCGGAACAAACGAAGAATATCGGTTGAAAATAATCGACGTACGAATCCGTTTATTGTTCCCTCAGGCAGTGTGTGTGTATGCGTTGATCTTTAAGCGAATATAGCAAAGGTTTAACCTTACTTTTCTCCTCTTCTTTTTCTTCCTTTTTTTTTTTTTTTCTTTTTGTTAATTTCTATTTTATACCGTGTCAGTCGGCCACACGAGCGAAATTGGAAATGCACAAAGGAAACGATCGTTTCGTTGCAGCAACAATAATATTAATAATGACTGTTTACGCTAATCTTGGATAATTATATAGAGTTTAGAAATCCGCCCCTTTTGCCTGTCGCATTTTGCATTCGTCCAATTTCATTGTCGACGACCAAAAAGAAAAGCCAGCAACTTTCTCGTCAGACGTCGTTTTTCCCCATTTTTCCTTTCTTATTCCGAGCGAAACCAAGATGCATGAAGAACGCGCAATCTTCGTTCCAGAGACGAATCAAAGAAAGAAAAATAATGTATTATATATATATTGTACGAATCATTACGAGCAGAGTGTGTTTTTCTCACAGCTGTACCTTGTTCGTTCCGTTTTTCATTTCTTTCCTTTTTTTCTGTTTTTTTTTTTGTTTTTTTTATTCTTTTTTCTATCGATTATTCTCTCTCTCTCATGATAGCTACACAGCAGAAGTACACAGGAAAGCGGAAGTAACGAAATAATACGTCGAATAGCAATTGCAGTAGTGGATAATGAAATTTTCTAGTATACCATACCTCGAGAAACGCGTAAACACTATACTGTTTATCGTATGTATGCAACATGCAAAAGCAAAATATATGTGTTGATGTGTAACAATTGTGCGTCCTCTTTCCTACCATTCTCTCCAATTGTTTCTCATCTATTGCATGTAAGCAAGCACTTACAGCTACAGTTTCCTTTCTAAAGCGAGTTTCTAAAGTTTCGCTTCTCCTCTCTAGAAGCATTCGATAAATCAAATTGTTCCTCCCTTACGATATATCGGAATTCTTTTTTCTTTTCTTTCTTTTGCCCGTAATTCGACATAGTTACGTAATCTACGACGTTGCCATACTCGTCTTTTTTCTCGTTTTTCTAATGGAAAAAGTATTCCAATTGGATAAGGTTAACGATATTACGTACACCGTATAGGCGTTCGATATTTTTCCCGCGCAGTACGCTTGCTGCCGGCCGGAAGCGATGGAATCATAAGTTCCGGTACGGAGCGAACGGCCTCTGCGCAAAATTGACGCGGTATCGAGCGTATTGATCCGGTCGACACAGCCAAAGTGCATGCAACGTTGTAGCCCGGTCACAGAGAACAGTCGGCGGGGCCCTCCGCAGGCTTCGCAGGCAGGCAACGTTTCCTGAACTTTGAAAATCAATGCCAATGTTCAGCTGGTACGATAGCTGGGCCAAAGAGAGAGAAAGAGCCTGCCTGTCCGTATGGGAGGAACGTAGACAGGAAGAAAACGGCAAAAGCAGCATATTGATCTGCCTTTAGCAGACGACTCGAATGCCAGCCACGCTTCACTGTCTGCGCAACCACAGAGACTCCGTATGCCTTAAAGCGGATAGACATCGCGTGGTTTAGCGTGGTTAATGCGTTCAACCGCTGATCGAATTTTCATTTATCTATGCCATGTATTCGGCGAGGAATTTTCATAGGGAATTTTCATCCTTATAACGCAATACGCGAATCGGTTTGACGAAAAGTATCGGTGTATATAGATGGAAACGACGAATCGAAGGATTCTTTCGTATTTCTGTCAAAGAGAAGAAATTTTACGCCCGACGACATAGGAAGATACAGCGTGCAGCAAAATTAACGCACGTATTTACAACGATTACAGATTATAACTGTTACGATGTATCCATAATCGTATTATAACGATCGTGTTATATTCGCAAAGAGACAAGTTACCGTATAGCTTCCATTTCCTTAGTTCTTTTCATGAAAGTATAAAATTAGAAGTCTGCAGTCCACTTACGAGTAATAGTAGTAACGTACATGCCTTGTAAACGAGACTGATAATTAACGAAGTAGGTAGCGTAGTTGGCTACCACTTACGGTGAAGCGAGTTCAAATCTCCTAAGGCAAGAAAGGAAAAGGCCCCTCCCGTTGTACAACGGACAATGCTACAAATTATGGTGTTTTATCGTTGTTGTATATTCGTCGAAGACCACACACAAAAAAAGAGAGATCATCGACGTTACGTAATGCTGGACTATAGCGGTTCTGACAGTTTGCAAACCGTTCAAATAAAAGATTAACTTAACCACACACAATACGAGACAATATACGCATAGAAACAATATAGGATTTTTCCAAACGTAAAAAAGAGGAGTTGGGTGAAAAAACCCGAAAGAAAAATTATAAAAATTATTTTTGTAATTTTGAAAATTAAAGCGCGTCTTGATCATTCTTTGCCAAAGCCGAAGACAACGCGTCTGTGATTTTGAACGCTTCGGGAACGTTTTGTTTAAATTCCATATAATTTTTAAAAGATCTGACAAATTTTATTACTTTTGTAAAATTATTCTCGGACTAGGCTGGTTCAGTCTTGTTTTGGCCTGAGCGACAGCGAATATTTTTCTTACGTAGTGTTTAAATAAAAGTAACTTTTACTTTATACGAAGTCACGTACACTGAAAATAACGAGAACCGTCGTCCGGCTGCCAAAGAACAATAACGCACGATCAATAATTACTGCCGAAGATTGCCTGTACAAGGTATCTTCCTTTGGGTAAACGAAACTTTATAAGCCAATTTCTGGTAATTTATTTTAATAGGATCTTTAGAGTGTTCGTATAAATCCAGCTCGATTAGGGTGGATCCTAGACCACGTGTCCTTTATAGTAAAAGCACAGACCCCTTATACGTGGCATGACAACTTTTATTACGCTGGAAGCAGCAATTTGTAACACTGTGGCAGTATAGTACACGAAAGTAACGATATTGCTTAGTAAGAATTAACTTAGAAGGTTAACGATCGTTAGCGATCATTATTGTTTCGTAACGTTATCATTATCGTAACGACCATTGCCGATGAAGAAAATAGCTGTCGAATAGTGAGCGTTTGTCGTATCGAATTAACGGTCGATATAACAAACTATTTTTTAAAAACGAGGAACGAAAAGTGTATGTTCTTCGACGTGAATTATCGACGAAAATTTCCTAGTTACGAAAGACAGGCTTCATCTGGAAGCCAATGTTTGTAAACGGATGCCAAAAGTAACAAATAAATAGAGAATTTACTTTCCATCCAACCTCTTTCTTCCTTACCACACATTGCTTATCAACTCCAATAATCTATAAAAAATTTTCTACAAAAATTTCTTGTACGACAAACAATGTTCTTTAAATGTAATGGCCCCTTAGGGATGAAACTCAAAATTACACGATATTTTTAGCTTTCATCGACGAGAGAACGATCAGGACACGCTGTAATTTTCAAGATCGAAGAAGTAATTTTACTCGTTTATTTCAGTCTTCTTATTCCACTTCTTTTTTACCCGAAAACCATGCGTCGCTTTTTGTTACAGTCGATAACGTAGGAAATGATAAACCATTTGAACGTTTAAGGGCTCGGAGGCAGGTTCTCTCGGTTATTCGATGGAGCTCAAATTTTGCACAAATTATCTCTTTGTTAATCGCAAACATCCCGAGCGATGGCGCGAAAGAAACCTTGAGCAAACTCTTGTCATCGAGTCTGAATAATAAGAGTCATCGTAATACGCGGCGAATGCGTTGATTTTTCACGTTCGTGCGTATACCGTAATACTGAGAAAACACGCAACATCGAAAAAATAACCAACGATTTCTTCCACCGCGAACGTGCTCGTGCCTTATATTATTCCTCCGTAATCGAATCTTTCATTCGCCATTACGTGTCTTATCCGACGAAGAAATTCGGACAGGTTTGGTGAAAGGCGTAGTTTCGAAACGTACGAAGCATCGTTTTTTTCATACGCATTTTTCGATATTTTCGTACAAGCTGAGATCTCGATCCATTAAAGTCCTATTAAAACTTTTACGATTACGCTTATGGTAGAAGCGTATCCCTTGGTACTTTATAAAATATCTTCCTTCCAAGCTGCTATCGAGAGTGATCCGCCATTTACTCGAATTGCGAAAATAGGTAATTTATTTAATTAAAGAAACTCGTTTTCCTTCGAATAGGAAACGGGAAACGTTGATGTTATCGTTAACGATCGAGAGTGCGCGTTAAATTGTGCGATCTTTCGCACGACCGTCTACTCTGTGCTTCCAACCTAATCACAATGGACGAATTAATAGAGAAATACTACGGATACGAATCTATTTATCTTCGTTTCGTAATAAACGTTTTATACGAAATGAAGTAGTCCTTCGTCTCTTGGAAGGTAGAAAGACGGAGAATTTATAAAAATTCCAAGAGATTTTCGGAATCGTCGTGGAACAAGTTTTAATCGTCAAAGCTATCGTTAAAAAGTTTTAATGGAATTCGAAGCGATACGAATCTCAGAGATGGCACGATACTACGACTCTCTTTGTTTCAGGTTCCCTATGCTTCGCGTTTTTATCCGGAATCGACCGAGCTAAATTAATGAAAATAACGTACGAAGCGTCTAACGAGAGAAGATCTTTATTACGGCGATGTTTATACATTATTCAAGCAGCCGAGCGTTTAATCGAGCGATTTGAAATTCCAGCGTCGATTTTTCTATCGTTGCCTATGAATACGACGATAAATATTAATGCTGCTCTGCGTTGAAATCGTGTTATTAAAGTCTATGAATTATTTTGAATTTTTATACACGGTTATTCGACGGCCAGCTTCGAAATTTTAGCATTCCGTGTTTTTCCAGGCTTCGAAACTTCGAAATTCCTAGCTTTATTCCGAAAGTTTCCGCTTCAAAGGCTCTCGGATATTTTCTTTTTGTACAATTTTTTTGTCGGGTATATTCACTTGCATGCACGTTGCATAGATGAATAAACGTTTCGTAGTTGGTAAAGTAGATATTTCTGAATATTCGTCGTTACCAAAAGCGTTCGCGTCGACTCGTTTGATATCTTCCATCGCGAGTTTATCGCTGCTTCGATGTTGCATCTCGTAGCTGAATTCTCGTCGATCGTAATTCAAAGGAACGTTGTTCCATTTACGTGTCGATTTTATTTGCATCGACGGCGATCGAGTTTCTCTCGGCGAGGACGAGTGACGAAACAAAAAATCGTGAAACGTGCGGAACGAACACGCGGCAACGAAGTGACGATGATTAATCGATACGTCGAATATCGACGAATTAAACAATTCGATAGAACACGATAACGAGACGAAAGTTCGAGTTCCCTCGATTCGAATATTTCAAGTATCGATACTGGCACGTTCGATGCTTGAGAAACTGGTCAATTTGGTGGACGACAGAAAATCGATAACGAGGAAAGAAGCGACTCCCTTTAAGGATCGATATTACCGCGTATAGATAGTTTTTAGAGTGGCCAGCAACCTGTACAATGCCGACGACGTAATGCATGGTTCGATTTTCTATCACGGAACGTGGAAGAGGTGGAAGCTCGACCAGGGCAACCACCCTTGTCGCACAGAAATCAGTAACTTTGTTATCGTCGATTCTTCGACTTACCCGTTTTTAAACGACGATATTTCTTATTTTTCCTTCTTTCGTTCCTTCGCAACGTGGCGACTCGTAACGTACTTACGTTCTCTCTTAATCGATAGAGGGGGCAAGAATACTTTTCTCGAAGAAACAGGAGATTTGGTATTATTTAGGTATCGAGTAGCTTATCGTTGAAAACATTCAAGTTGTATAAATTTTATTTTGCTTTATATATAAATTTTATTTATGTAATTTACGAAAGATGCATGGAATACAGATCGTAACCTTATTTCAATTTGTTGTAGATTTAATTAAACCACAGAGTAATCTTTAACAGAATCTTCTTAGCTGTAATTCCAGTTTACGAGTGATACGTGACATTTTACTTTACGCATATACGCACATATAAAATTCATTTACGTGATTTACGGAAAATGAATGGAATACAGGTGGTAACCTTATATCAATTTGTTGTAGATTTAATTAAACCACAGAGTAATCTTTAACAGAATCTTCTTAGCTGTAATTCCAGTTCACGAACGATTCGTAAAATAATTTTTACCGTGTCGTGTTTTTAAATTAATTAAATTCCTTTTAAAACGCTTTATAGCTGGAGCGCAGATTTTGACGCATTCGCGAGAAACTTAAGAGCGTAAAATGCACGTAAAACGAACGCTATATCAACGTAACACGAAATAACTACGTTAAGTATCCGTTAGAATTTTCAACGAATGGAACGTACCCGTTTGATTACGTTTATAAAAATATTAATTCTATCCACGATATTTGCAAACGTTCTACCGATAAATACGATTTGTTCTTTCTTTCGCAGGAGGAAGCCTGACGTTTTAGAGTACTTGGACCTTTGCACGGATCCACCTCTTCGTTTGCCCGCCTCTTCTTGCCACTCGAGAATGCAGTCACAGTCGGCGTGCGATTGTTATTGCAAAACTCGCGTGCCGATAGCGCGACAAAGAGAGGAAATTCAATACGCAAGAAGCGGCATCAGAGGGTCGAGAAGCTCTGTTCGTCGAACAGAAACGGCGAGAAGCGCGAGGAAAGTTACATTAACAGCGGCGAAAGCGGTCAACGACGAACAGGTATCGGTGTAACGAGAAACCCGGTCATATGGCGAATAGGAAAATTGATGGGAATAACAAGCGATAAAAAGAAGAAGAAAAAGAAAACGAAACTAACGCTCGTAAAATGTGGTAGACGTACAGATGAGATACAGCATCGATTTTGGTACTTCAGATCCATGGGATTTTTATTACGATATCGCGAGGATCTTGCGTAATCGATAATCTCAAGCGAGATAATTCTGAGAAAGAGATTTCGCTAATTTCTTATATAGAGATACCTTCAAAGTTTTTTTTTTTTTATTTATTTATTTACGTTTTACAATTTGTCCAGTAGAACGTTTGGTAAAATATTATAGCTTAGTGGTATAATAATATAACACGTGGATGGCTACCCCCAGTGGGATACCATCTTCGAATTCTTTCAAAGTTACCTGTTGTTTATTCGATCAATCGGGGAGAGACGCGATCGCGAGGAAGCGCGTCAACGGCAGTCGTAAATTTCCGTTACGATCAGCTAATCGACGCCACGAACAGATCGATCTTCCATTACAGTTAGGATAAGAGGGATGGTTGAATTAGTATAACACCCAGGACATCGGGGCCTTTCCTTTGGAATTTTTGGGAAAGTCCCCAATACCTTAGGCTAGACTTTTTATTATAGCTGTACTTAAATAATAAAACTTGGATGTAGTTGTTTATGACTTACTCCGATTATGTTTGTCAGAGATTTATGACAGTAGGCTTGGGCTTGTAGTGACGCGTCTGGTCGCTAAACGTAGCCACGGTCACGGGATGGACGTTTTTACTTAACAGAGGTATGGAGTAGCTGTATAACTCTCCTTAAAAATATAGTTGACCCGAGGAGTACAGAGAAAAGTACACGAGTGAGTTCCACTTGGACTGTGGACAAGTAATTGCAGTCCCACTGGGACTTTGGAGAAGTCATTTGCCATCCTGTTCATCCTGTTCACCGTTATTGAACCTAAGATCATCGTCATCGGTATCTCGAGCATCTAATCGCCACGGCTAATTGTCAAATTCTGAAATAATCATATTTGTACCGTTAATTGTCATCTATATTGTATAACGACAATGGCTAATCCAAATGAAGGTTCGTTAAACGCCCCTAACCGCAATGATAACTCGACGTGTATTCCCATCAACTTTGTAGAGAAGATAGTTACGCTGTTAAGTAAGGTATAAGAGAAGTAGGTGAACGATCGAAGGGTGACAACCCGGTAAAGGGATATTAACTAAGAGACGAACCAGCGAAGTTGGGTGACGATGCTGTTGCGATGGGAAACTCTTGCTCGGTGATGATTGCCCCACCACTCGAGGGTGGAATTCATTTTTACCTGATAGAGCAATAACCATAAGGAACCTCTTGACTCGAAGATGTTTTCTGCCACTTAACTCGTTAACGGTAAATCAAAAAGTCTCGTTTTATGACAGTTCCTTAGGATTATTGCGATCCAACTAATTGCGTAGACGTGGCGAGTGGCCGCCTCGACCGAGAGATTCCTGGCTATGCAAGGAGTCACCCGACGAAATACCTGTATCATTTACCTTTCACCACTCTTCTGATACCTCTCTGAGTACGATTGTACGCTGTATTTGCGTAATTTGGATAATATTAGGTCGTCCGAAAAGTTTCTCTCGTTTTATAAGGAAATAATGGATGCGCATTTCCCGTTTTATATTATTTCATCGTGTTGAGAATTGTGGATCTTTGAGGCCGAAATAATGTTATAGGAACACTAAATTTACACCGAGGATTAATAATAAAATAATAATGTATTTATTTCATGGACGATTGCTTATATATTCATCGATACACATTTGTACGCGTCTCAGCGCTTTCTTCTATACCCGACTGTAAACCGACTCTTCGACGACCCTTAACCGACTGTGGAGTTAACCGACAGAGTTATTCAGCTTCGGACGCACATACTTCCACACACTGATATTCACATACAAGTATCTCTACTACGCATTTAACCTAGTCCAGCACAGAAAATTATACATATCTCAACACATTGAATTACGTACGATCCATTTTGTTCTATCAAAATAAAGATCACAACGTTCGATGGATTAGGTTTCGCGTTTGTATAAAGATGCGTCGTTGTGAGAGACGTGTCTGTAAAAGAAAGACACTTTTCGGACAATCCAATAGTTGCTCTTTAAATTGCAATTTAGTAACCGCAATAAGTTGCAGTAATAAAATCACAAAATAAGAAAACAGTCGTTTCGTCGCGACTTAATTCCATGTTACAACAGACACGCGTAGAAGGTATTAGGTCGTCCGAAAATTTTCTCTCGTTTTATAAGGAAATAATGGATTACTATAAGGAAATAATCGAACTATGTACGATCCATTCTACCAAAAGTAAAGATCACAACGTTCGATAGATTAGGTTTCACGTTTGTATAAAGATGCGTCGTTGTAAAACACGTGTCTGTAAAAGAAAGACACTTTTCGGACAATGCAATAGTTGCTCTTTAAATTGCAATTTAGTAACCGCAATAAGTTGCAGTAATAAAATCACAAAATAAGAAAACAGTCGTTTCGTCGCGACTTAATTCCATGTTACAACAGACA